CACACACACACACACACACACACACACACACACACACACACGTATATATTTGTATAAAACAACACAACAGTACGACTGGGGCCATGAGGCAGATCATGTGACAAATTGATACAAACCGATACTGATCTGCACTCAGTGTTTACTTTAACTATCCAGGTGAAATTAGAGCAAATTTAAACTAAATTATAAGAATTAACCCTTGTAATGCTGAAAAATGCTATTAGGAGAAAACTAAAAACCATCAAACTTGTTCTTCAGGATCGAGCAAAACCATTACATAACATAACCTGTTTTTAGTGAAGAGTGGAACTTTCACATATTCCTGCTCCTTTCTGCATTTGTCTTAGATATGAACCACTCTGAACCATTTCCTCTCACTGTAGAGCAGGGGATAAATGACACAAGCAGCTGCCTTGTAGTGAAGGAAAAACTGTGGCATTTTATGTACATTTCCACTAAATATTTTTAAACTAAGAAAACAAAGTTACAGTTCAGATCTTTTGAAATTGATGTTCTGGGGATCATTTACATCTAAATCTGTTGTAGCTCTTTCATCTCATTTTGTAGAATTGCAAATTACTTCTGACCTGACTGATGAGCTAATGGCTAGTCTACATGGGAGCAAGAACTAAAAGGGTTGACGTTACCTAACCATAGCTAGGATCTTAAAAATCCCTTAGCAGATTATGCAAACACCATCTTACAAATCTTTACATTTATGTCAATTTTGCACACTATTATTTGCAAGAACAAACAGTGCCACCAGTAGCTAGCGAAAGCACTTCCAGCATAAATTATTTTGCCAAAATACCATAATTCAAAACTGACACGGCTGTAAAATATTTTAAAATGGCATTTGTATGAAATGCTCTAAAATCTTTTTYGATTGGAGCAGTTTTAAGATGGCARCAATGCACTTAGGCCTTGGTTTCACATGGACTAGCCTTTAGCTTGTTAAACAGGTCAGAATTAAACCTTTTCACGAACTAAGCTTGTCTAAAGAGTTAYCTACAACATGYAAGATAATAACYGTTTATAACCTTTCCATRACATCTTATTTTAAAAGATGCAAACCATCAGTTTCAGCCCTGTAAGAATCTCAACCATCTACTTGGTCTTGCTTTGTGGAACAATATTTGTCCAGAAAACTAAATCTATTTCCAAATGATTCCTAAATGGAGGTGAACTGGTTCAAGAAGCTGAAGTGAGGACAGAATTTTTGGACAGTTGATGGGTTCAAACCACAGACAAAAAGAAACTGAGTGTTTATGAGAAAAGACAAGGTCTGATGTGGGGTGGGGGGGTCTGATGATGCTGATGAAGATCATCTCAGAAGCATCTCAAAAGTGTTGCAGCATTTTCCATGGCTGAGGCACAGAGAAGAAGTTRTTCTTTGAGTGAGAATCAGTGTAAAGGGTGTGTGTTGGATTCTTGGTAAAAACAAAACAAAAAAGGGCGAATGGTTTAGCAAGCACAGCTCCCATTGCTCTCTGACGACGAGTCTTTAAGGCCCTGGTTCCGGTGGTTGGATGTAAGGTTGTCGTCTCCTTCCATGCTCTCATTCATCTTGTCACAGATCACGTCAACTAGACGCTCAAACACTTGCTTGACRTTAATGTTGTCCTTAGCGCTGGCCTCGAAGAACTGAAAACCTGGGAGCAACGGTACAGACAGGCTCAGTTTGTTTTTAGTTGATTTAAACAATTCACAGCCTTTGAAAACAAATATTAACTTGTAATTTTGTTTTTTACCAAGATCCTCCGCCAGCCGCTGGCCATCCTCTGTAGGTATAAGCCTGTCGTCCTCTAGGTCACACTTGTTCCCAACCAGGATCACCTGAGCATTGTCCCATGAGTACGTCTTGATCTGTGTCGACCTGGAAGATCAAAATGTTGCAATTTAAGGGAAGTACACTTCTGTTGAAAGAGACAATCTCATTATGAAGCACGTCCCACTCACCAGTCCTGCACAGCGCTGAAAGAGTCCTGGTTAGTGATGTCATACATGAGCAGGAAGCCCATGGCTCCTCTGTAGTAGGCTGTAGTGATTGTACGATAGCGCTCCTGCCCTGCTGTATCCTGCAGTTAAACACACACGAGTACATTCTGAAATATTCATACATCAGGCCTATGAAACAAGGAAAATACTTACAGGGTGAGTCASRAGTCACAAGAGACCCTTTTATTTTAGAAAGAAAATGGAAAATGACATATCTAAATACGTCAGCAAGCAACGGTTGGAAAAATTGGAAAAATATGGCAGCTTTCAAGGTGGCGGCCATGTTCTACACATATGCTAAAAGATAGGCCCCCATCACCCATTACTGGCTGGGGTATTCAGATATATCTCTCTCCCTTTTGTTTCWGAAATAAAAGGGTGTMCTGTGACTTTTGACTCACYCTGTATTTTGGTCATCTAATATCTAATTATACACCACAAGGGGGCAGTGTTGTTTAAACTGGAGGTTTAGCCTCTCAGAGCAGTAGTAAACCAATGAYTTTGACTATACAATGTTTTTGTATATAATGTACACAATAACAGTGTATACAATTCATTGATTCTTAAATGTTTTTCCAGGGTGCGTCTGCAAAATTGGTCCAATGGTTCATGTATTCTTTCAWTTCCATCAACTATGATGTTTCACATGTGGTCATAAAAACTTTTGAACTGTGGAACACCAACATTTTCAAAATCAAATAAATAAATAAATAATATTTTTGAAGAAGAATGAAAAAAATTCATATCATTGAGCTTAGTATTTCATACACATTCAGATATTTCACAATTACTATGTCACATTATATATTTATGTATTATTTATTTATGTAAATTCTCATTTCATCATGTTTTATTGATTTGATTATGAACCTTTTTGTTTTCCATACTGTCCAGGAAGGAGCTAAACATTTTAAGATTAACACTTTTTTACCACACCGTGTGTGTGATGTGTGGTGGTCACCTAGGGGTGGAATAAACGTTACACCTGGCTTTGACCCTAATCTCAGAAGACCTCCTTTAAAGCGACATAACTTTGTTCTAGTTAAAGTCATAACGTGTTTTCTTAAACAGTAAAGAGACATTTTATTTTATTTCTTTAATCAAGATAATAAACAAAATAATAATGTTCTTTATACAGTATTTTTGATTTTTATTTTCTTTTAACTAAAAGTTATTATCATTTTATAAATCAAGATTACATATTTAAATGAATGACAAGCTATTTTCTTTCATTATAATTCAGAAAAAGAAAACATACAAAAAGAATATTGTTCCAGTGGTTTTTTATTTGTTTATGTAAACAAGTGTTTTAATCAACTGTTATTTGACAATAAGGTGATTATATGTTTTTCTGTTTTATTTTTCAATTTCACTAAAACAACTATGGTCTAGTTCACTATGTGTTACTATGAAAAATATATACAGTTATTTGTGCTTAAATTCTAAACAAAATATCTTAAGTTTCATGTTGGTTTAAATAATTTAGCTCAGTATTTTATTGAAAACCTAATTCCTTATCGTTGAGAATTAATCCTGAAAAACTGAGGCCGGCACAGTCTGAACTTGTTTTTTCTATGTGCAGTGTTTACCAGACTAAACTTCCAGTCCTCCTGTTTCTAACACTAGCTCCGAGGTCATGTCCTCTAGTTTTGTCTCTCTCTCTCTCTCGTAGTTACAAACTACGGACGAGCCTCCCCCCAGATCAGAGACCATTTTCGTTTCAAACGAAAAGGAACTGGTTTTCCTCCTCTGGGAATCCAGCGTTCAGGGATAAGATCTCCGCTCWCCTGCCAAGGAGCAGATCTTAACCCCGGTCATCTAGTCATGACCAAACCAACAGTTTTGAGACTCCACTGAGTTTTGTTTCAAACCTTGTGTGAGAGATCTCTCACTCTAAAGAGGAGCTGAAAGACGACAAGATGCTGGAGTAATCAAACCAGTTGAAGTCTTACTGGACAGTAAGTTGAACCTGACCGGAGCTCTTTGCTGATCCGGGTGAGACCTACTCAATGCCTAACCTGACTTTGAAGTCTTCTGAAGGTAAAGGCTGAATTGTTTGATTAAAGCGCATCTGTATCCAGCTGTGTCGAGTGGGAGATTCATGCCCATTCCTGGCTCCTCACATTGATAAGATTAAGACTTAATTACTCCTCCTTAACCCTCTTTTCCTCTCTATTCCTTAACCTTTGCCCATATACCCTGCCAAACCCTTAAGAACAGTGCCCCAAACAATGGTTTATTTAARAACYTAAGMCTGAAGTTTGTTGTTTCTGATAAAGTTGTCAAAGTAATGATAATTAACCCGGACACGAGTTAATTGTTGTAGATTTCAACTTTTGTAAGAAATATAATTGTCCTTTAATGAGTTGTACATAAGTAATTTATTTTATTCTGTAAATAAATTTCATTTATTTTAGATCAAACTAAGTTACTGAGTACGCTCACTCATTGTGTGGTTCTCTCATAATTCCACAGAAAAGGTATTATTTCTAAAACAGAAAAACTCGTGATATTCCTCATAACTTCAGTTATGAGAAGATCTTACCTCTACAGATGATAAACTGTAATAGTGATTAAAAGTACAAGAATGTTTATAAACAAATGCTGAAAAGTGCCAGTGCAACTACTTTCTGAAWCTCCAATATCCATCAACTTCCTCTACAAAATCCCAACAGATATTGGGGACTTACTTCTTTCAAAGTAATCAAATTTTAATGTAAAAACTATGCAAGAAGTAGAAAAAGAACCAAGAGCAAAAGTCATTTTAAAGCTCCTGCTAGTGGCTCATTAGGGTCAAAACGCTCCTTGGTCTGTCACTCCCTGAGCTAGCATTAAATAAATAAATAAATAAAACAGGCACACAGTAGAAAAAAGTTTCATAGCAACCAYGTGTAAACTATAGGGTGAGTCAAAAGACACAGTACAGAAAGTATTACCCCAGCAAATAGGCGAGGGAGTGTATCTTGAAAATACTTGGCCTTGATTCAAAATGACAGCTTTCAAGATGGCAACCATGTACTGGAAATAGCTTAAAAGAYAGCCCCCTCTCACCAATTACTTGCTGGGGTATTTCAATATGTCATTTTCCCTCTTCTTTCTGAAACAAAAGGGTGTCCTGCAGGGGCGGACTGGGGAGAAAAAGTTGCCCGGGAGTTCCTGACAGACTGGCCCACTTTCAACCGCCGGGTTGAAGTTTCTCAAACGTGAACGTGATTTTGTTCAAAATGACATTTGCAAAGCAAACATTTGTTTGAGACCTACAGTACCAGTGAAGCTAAAGTGCATGTCTTTGGTCTGTGAGAGGAAACTGGAGTACTGGGAAAAAAAATCATGCAGCGGGAGAACATGTAAACACCACCCAGAAAGGTCCCAGCCTGGGATTTGATCCAACAACCACTTTGCTGAGAAACAACAGCAAATTTTATATKTATAATGTTGGTGAAGATTCTCAGTCATCCTCATGATAAAAAATGTAAAAAACCAAACAACTGGACTTCTATTCTGAGTTCTAAGCTTTATAAATCTTCATGAAAGTCTAYAAAGCTTAGAAAACTACACTACTCTAAACATGTTGAACTGACAAATAGGGACGTCCTGATCAGACACTCAGTATCGGTGGCATATATTGCCATTTTTTGAAAATCGGGTAGAGTCAGATTTAGACGTGATTGGGCCGATACAGTTTTTGCGACAGTTTTCAGCATCATCATGCTTTACAACTGCTGTTAAGAAGTCAATATGCACACAAGTACAACCATGTCCACAGTGTGGGAACGCTTTTCAATGGAAAACAATGATGCTGAAACTGTATTTTGCA